CTGCCACAATGCCTGGCTATTTTTTTGTTGTTGTTGTTGCAGTTTTCATTGTTTAGCTGGCCCAGGCTGGGTTTGAACTGCCAGCCTGGGTGTATGTAGCCGGCGCCCCACCTATTGAGCTATGGGCGCTGCCCATGCCTGGCTATTTTTTATAGAAACGAGGTCTCGCTCTGGCTCAAGCTGGTCTTGAACTCCTGAGCTCAGGCAATCCACCCACCTCGACCTCCCAGGGTGCTAGGATTATAGGCGTGAGACACAGTGTCCAGCTCATAGACAGTTTTAGGACCCAGAGCACTAAAAATGAAAGACTCAGGACCCCAAGTTCTGCAGACAGCCACAGGCAGCCCCCAGGATGAGGAGACACAAGTGCACGGGTCTCACCGGGTTGTGATCAGACCAGGCTGCATCCACAACGCCCTCCACAGCCGAGTCCACATCTGCAGAATCAGTCACCAGCAGCAGCGCCTCCACCCCCAGTGCCAGGCCCAGTTCAGCCCACTGGCCTGCCAGGGTCCGCCGAAGGGCACGTCCTTCCTGAAGAACCCCTCTAGGATTCAGCTTCTGGAGGAGCCACTGGGTCCCCAGCTGTGTCCCATCCCCCTCTCAGCCCTGAAGATACCTCAACGGCTCCACAGAAGGCCACCTTCTGGATTCCAGGCTGGGATGCCAGGACAGGCCCCAGAGAAGCAGGACCACTGATCACATTAAGGATTCCTGGGAACTGGCCTAGCTCCCCTGCCAGCTGGGCCAGGAGGAGGGGTGTTGGGGAGGCTGGGGGCACAAGGGCCACCACAGTACAGCCTGGGGAAGAGGGATAGCTCAAGGATCCAGGGTTTGGGCTCTCAGTCCCTCCTTTCTCAGACCCCGGGGTCCTGTCTCCAGCCCCTCCTCCCTCAGATCCAGGGGTCTTAAGCCCCCAGACCCTCTTCCCTCAGATCCAGGGGACCCGGAGTCCCAGCCCATTATTTACCCACAGCCAGGGCAGGGCAAATCCTCCACATCATCTCAAGGAAGCAGAATGTGGGTGGCAGGATGAGGCCAATTACTCCTGTGTGGAAAAGGATGAAGTGTCTGGGGCTGGCACAGGTGGGTCATGCAGGAGGAGGAGGCTGAAGGATGGGACTCCAGGTTCTCACCCATGGGCTCCCAGCCTGCCAGTGCCTCCTCCTGGGCATGTGCCTGGACGGCATGGTAGTGCAGCAATTGCTGGGCCAGCTGGACATCCCCATCTCGAACATCCCGAACAGCCCGCCCAGTAACCAGGGATTCCAGGGTCCACAGCAGCCGCTGGTGCTTCTGGATCACCTTGGCCAGTCTAAGGAGAAAGCAAGGGGATGGTCACATCTGCCCCTCAACCTGATAAGAGTCCTGGACTATACACCTGGACTATAATCCCCATTTGACCCCCTGGAGGTAGGGCACCAAAGATTTATGGGAAGTGTAGTTGGGGAAACCCAAATCCTGAGGATGTTGTGTAAGGGTCTTGGCCACTGGGAAACTGAATCTTAATTTCTAATTTCAATTACATTTGAGACATCTACATATGGAATCTGTCTCTAGCTGCCCCCAAAACAGCTAGAAAATGGGTTTGAGGCTTCACCAGCCCTAGTGAATAACTTAGAAAGGGAGACAGCCCCATGAGCCCCAAGAATATTGTGGGAAATAAAGGCGTTATCATTGTAGCCCCAGTAAATAGTGGGAAATGGATGTTTTGGACCCTATTGTCCCTAACACATGCTAGGAATATGGGCCTTAGTGGCTCTTGGGAAACAGTCTTTGTTCTTGTAGTGTCAAGTGGATGCTGGGGGACAAAGTCCCTTTCCACCTCCCATCCAACCTCAGCAGCATCACCTAGTCAGGTGCTGGGCCCGAGAGGCCCCAGGGAGTCGGCTCCAGCTATCAAATGCAGTCCTGGCTGCCTCCATGGCTGCAGCCACATCCTCAGCCTGTGCCTGGAGGCAACTGGCCAAGTTCTCTCCTGGGGAGAAAAGTGGGGGGCCCATGTCAGAACTGCAGGAGCCTAGGAGCAGCTCAAGGCAGTAAGCTGGTCCCTAGCCCTACTGGGGCTCTCACTTTCATCACTGGTCTTTGCTCTGATTGCCTCCCATGGGCAAGAAAGAGATTTTAGTGGACAATAACTGCAAAAAGCCTCCATAGGGACTAGGAATTATAACTGGGATGACTGTTACCAGGAGGAACCAGCTGTTTCTTGCCCTCAGGGAATGGGTGTGGTTGGTGGGTCTGGCTAGAGGGTGCAGATGTCTCTCCCTCCTCCAGTGACTGGGGGAGTAACACATACCTGTGATGGGATCCTGGCAAGGCACTGAATTCCTGTGCTCTGGTTTTAACCACATCCCATTTACATAGTGGCCCAAGTGCCGGTCCTGGGTGTCCAGCCAGGCCTGGGGGAGGAGGAAGAAGTTTGGAAAAGGAACTGGGAGGAGCTGAGGCAGCTCAATCCCTATGCAGAATCCTCTGGCAGGGAACACCTATACCCTTTTGCCCCATCAGCTAATTCTTTTTCTCCTATTGTCTTTTTAAAAAATTGTGGTAAAATATATGCAACTTAAAAGTCATCATTTCAGCCATTTTAAAGTGCACAATTCAGTGGTATTTAGTACATTCACAATGTCACGCAACCATTACCACTGCCTAGGTCCAGAACATTTTCATCATGCTAAGAGAAACCCCTATACCCACTAAGCAAGTACTACTACTCTCCCCTCCTCCCAGAACCTGGTAACCACTAATCTGCTTCTTATCTGAATGGATTTGCCTGTTCTGGATAATTCATATAAAGATGATCATAAAATATGTGATCTTTCTGTGACAGGCTTCTTTCACTTAGCATAATGTTTTTTAAGGTCTATCCATATTGTAGAACATATCAGAACTTCTTTTCTTTTTATGGCTGAATAACATTCCTTTGCATGGCTGGGCACAGGGGCTCACACCTGTAATCCCAGCACTCTGGGAGGCCAAGGTGGGAGGATCCCTTGAGCTCAGGAGCCTGAGCAAGAGCAAGACCCCATCTCTACTAAAAATAGAAAAATTAGTTAGGTGTTTTGGTGGGTGCCTATAGTCCCAGCTACTTGGGAGACTGAGGCAGGAGGACAGCTTGAAACCAGAAGTTTGCTGTGCGCTAGGCAGACACCATGGCATGACAGCCTGGGCCAAAGAATGAGACTCTGTCTCAAAAAAAAAAAAAAAAAATTGAGGCTGGGCACAGTAGCTCACACCTGTAATTCCAGCACTCTGGGAGGCTGAGTTGGGTGGATTGCCTGAGCTCAAGAGTTCAAGACCAGCCTGAGCAAGAGTGAGACTGCATCTCTAAAAATAGCCGGGTGTGAGCTCGGTGCAGTGGCTTACAACTATTATCCCAGCACTTGAAAGGCCAAGGCAGGTGGATTGCCTGAGCTCACAGGCTCAAGACCAGCCTGAGCCACAGCAAGACCCCCATCTCTAAAGAATTGCTGGGCGCTGTGGCAAGTGCCTGTAGTCCTAGCTACT